TTGCTTTCCCGCAAGCCTACTTCCTCTTGCTAAATCGTTATATCATTTCTGATGGGGTGACTTGTAAGTTCAAAGTTCTGGCATGTAGCCACTTCAGTTGACTACAGCCAAAAAAGCTCCAACCTCCCACCCACTGTGGGGCGTGGGGAATAGAACTGGTCCTGCCACTCCCCTGGACCTAATACCCTCGGTAACACCACCCGCCCGGAGTTGCCCACTCCTTTCTGCAGTCTCATGACACCTTCTGTACTTGGAGGTAAATTTTGAGTTACTGGTCCATGCGCTGACAATTCAGGGAGCCAACGAACATGAACATGCCCGTGACCACTAGCCATCTGAGAGAAAAGTCAACACAACGAGATACCATCTTGCTCCAGCATTAATGGAACTGATCCAAACACACACAAAAGCAACAACAAATGCTGGAGAGGTTGTGGGGAGACTGAAACACCGTGCTGGTGGGGCTTCAAAACTGTACAGCCACTTTGCAGAACAATATGTCACGTCCTTAAACACCTAGAAATAGAAGCAACATACGATTTAGCCATCACACTTGTAGCTATATATCCTGGATACATAAGAGCGGTGACCCAGACAGACATAAGGACACCCGCGGTCATGGCAGCATTATTCACAATAGCAAAAAGACGGAAACAGTAATAGGTAACCAACTGTGGAACATACATGCAGTGGAATTCTACCCAACAATAAAGAATAACAATGAATCTGTGAAACATTTCACAACATGACGAATCTAAAGGGCATTGTGCTGAATGGAATCAGTCTATCACAAAAGGGCCACGCAACTATTTTAAGCAGTCAAGCATAGGTTTACACACAGAAGAAAGAAACATTCTTTGAGAGCTACCAAGATCAGAGGAATAGGAAGGGCTAATCACTGCCTAGACAATGCACTGTGTTAGCTATGACAGAGATAAAGGCAATATACAATATGGAGGAAGTCAACACAAGGTGACCAAAGTAAAGGAAGACAACGAAAGGTATTCAAGAATAAAGGACACATATGGCAAATGCTAAGGAGTCTGCTTGCCACAAGGTTGGCAGTTCAAATCCACCAGCTATTCTGAAGATGAGGCTGTCTGTTCCCATACACATTTACAGTCTTAGAAATTCTACAGAGCAGTTCCACTCCGTCCTATAAGAAAGACCACGATAGTTAGAATGAACTTGATGGCGGTGGGGGATGGTAAATGCTATAACATATACAATTCTGCAACAGTAATAGCAGTCTGAGTTGATCCATAGATGTGCTAAGCTGGTGAGGGGAGTCCTATAGAAGTACACCCACATACATAGGAGGGGACTTCAAAACATTTGTAGGAAAAAATGGAATTAAGACATAATGGAATTTTTCCATGAACTCTTTGAAGCCCCCTTATATATAGATATGATTGTGAATATTTTGTATGCATATTTGTAAGTGCATATATACTCAATATAGCAACTAGGGGCCACAGGTGTGAAAACCACTTAGACATCAGGGATGAAAATACTGGATTTGAAGTCTATGGGCCATAGTTTCAGGGGACATCTAGGTCAACTGGCAAATACAGTTCATAAAGATAATGTTCAACATCCTACTCTGATGTATGGTGTCTGGGATCTTAAAAGCTTGCAAGTAATCATCTAAGAACCAGCGATTGGTTTATTCTCACATGGAGCAAAGGAGACTGCAGAAAACCAGACACCCAATTCGTCCAAAGGGTTAATGGGTCACATGAACCTTAGCCTCTAACCCAAGACTAGGAGAACTAGATGGTGCCCAGCTACCACGGCCACCCACCCTGACCAGGACCACAGTCGTAAGTACCCATCAGGAGAAGTGTGGTAGTTACACAATCTGGTGTCAACTTGTGAAGGGGCGGAGTCTAGTCTGTCAAGCAGGTTGCAACTTGAGGCTCCATGAGACTAATAGCTCACTGGAGGCCAGATACACACATACGCTGAGACATTTCTGTTGACAAGCCACATGGAGCTACACTGATAGAGCCAGAGCCCTGGAGCTGAAGGAGCCACATGGAGACCCACAACCAGTGCTGAGATGCTTCCATCACCACTGGAAACACAAGACTTTCCACCCACTGGCTTGTGATCTTCATTCAGCATCATTGCATGGCTGTGTGAGTCTAAAGAGGAATTTATGGACTAGTATAGGCATACGGGGCAATATTGGACTTATGGACTTGATCTGGACTGGGCTGAGATGTTTTCTTAATGTACAATTGCGCTTTTTTTTTTTTCAATTAGCAATAATTGCGCCTCGGGTAGACCTCATCGGCTACGATATTGCCACTGCGCAAAGCTACAATTGCGCTTTGATATAAAGTTCTCTCACACACACGAGCGTCTCCCTGGCTTTGTTCCTCTAGTCAACCCTGACTGACACATGTCTGTGACGCACAGACATGAAACCAGACTGCACTTGCCCCTTTCTACAACTGTGTTCATTGCGTGATAGAAATGTCTCTTTCTCCATACAGCTACAAGCACTGGTTTTGTTCCTTAAGAGAATCCAGCCTAACACAGGCTTAGGAAGCACCGATAGCTTAAGACAACACAAAAAACATACATCAATTTCATGGACAACATATTATGTCTCCTAGAGTCCCTGGGCTTTGCCTTCACAGAAACTATAATTAATGGTTCATTATTAAGTCAGTGTCTAAATTAAACCCCTAGCCAAGCGTTTCCCAAAGTGGGCTACATCACCCTCTGCAGGGCACTGGAATGATCCAGGGGGGGCTGTAAACACAGACACCTACACTTCATCCTGGATTATGGGCTATCGTGCCATCGATTTTAATTGCCAGGGGGCATCGGGTAATTTTTTCTGAAGAGGGACCAGTGGGTCAAATAACTGTGTCTAGCAGCTAGACAGTAAGCACCACGAGGTCAGGATCTGTCTGAGATGCTGGCCATCTTGTTCACCACTGTTGGCACACATGTGTTGAATGAAGCAGCACAAGCACATGCTCTCTAACTGTTTAACTTTGAAGCCACTGGCAAAGGTGATACTGAAAAGAGGCAGGCAGGTTAAAATAAGCACCTTATCATGTGCTTTCCTTTGTGACCCATTTGAAGTTTGTTCCAGTTTTTAATATTTTCTGCTTCCTTTTCAATTGAGTTTTTTTAATTGAATAAGTTTATTTGGGGCTCATACATCCATTGTGTCAAGCACATTTGTACATTTGTTGCCATCATCATTCTCAAAACATTTGCTTTCTACTTGAGGCTTTGGTATCAGCTTCATTTTTTCCCCCTCACTCCCTCCTCCCTTTTCCCTCATGAACCCTTGATAATTTATAGATTATTATTATAATTACACTATCTGACGTCTCCCTTCACCCACTTTTCTGATGTCCACCCCCCGGGGAGGAGGTTATAACCTTGTAATCGGTTCCCCCTTTCCACCTCACCCTCCTTCCACCCTCCCGGTACCACCACTCCCAACACTGGTCCTGAAGGGATCATCTGTCCTGGTTTCCCTGTGTTTCCAGTTCCTGTCTGTACCAGTGTACATCCTCTGGTCTAGCCAGATTTGTAAGGTAGAATTGGGATCATGATACGGGGGAGGAAGCATTTAGGAACTAGAGGAAAGTTTATGTTTCATCATTGCTACACTGTACCCTGAATTGAGGTTTTTCTCTCTTTTATTGTGTCTGTTTTTTGGTGTGTGGTGGTTTTGTTTCTTGTTTTTGCTTTGTCCTTGTGATGTCTTTCTGTACATGAATTTCAGGATAGGTAGTGCCTAGGAGCATGGCAGGGGAGGTGGGGGGAAATGGAGAGCTGACAACGATGACTACAAGAAAGAAGAAAATGTTCTCAAGCTGATGGTGGTGATGGTTGTGCCACCCCTACTATGACTATGAAATGTGAATTATATGCAATAAAAATATATTTTTTAAGTGAATCAATGACTGAACGTGAGCTATGTGCTTAGTGCTCTTAAATGTTTTCTAAATTCAGTTCCAATTAAGCCTCATGTCAGGGATTACTTAAACGGAGACTCCTATCTCCTGAGGAATTTGGTAATGGCACCCTTTTGAGCCCTTCAACTTTAAGCACATGTTTTAAGTTTTATTGATAAATGTTCCCCCCAAAAGCTATATGCATATATACACACATACACATATGCATCGATGACAGATACAGGTAGATCGATGCCATTCATCACCACTGATTTTATGATGTCTGGTTCACAGTAAGATTTTGACAATCATATATGAGACCTTATGGTAGTCACCTAATCTGGTGTCAATGTAAGGATTAAGAGTGTAGGGGTGGAGTCTAGGCTGTCAATCCAGAAATAGCCAATGAGGCATGGCCTTCTCCTGAGAATTCTGGGAAATCTGGTACTTCCTCTTTGGAAGCGGAAGACACTTCTCTCTCTGCTACTTCCTGGGAGACATAGCAGCTGACAAGACACATGGACCTACCCTGAAGCAGAGACCCCTGCCAGTGCTGAGATGTTTCCAATGACACTGGATCCAAAGACTTTCTACCCACTGCCCTGTGATCTTCTACATTCGGCGTCATTGCAGGTGTTACGTGAGTCGGAGGAGGACTTTATAGACTGGTATCAGACAAATGGGCTAATATTGGACTTATGACCTTGGACTGGACTGGGTTGGGATGTTTTCTCAATGTTCAATTCCTCTTGTATATAAACTTCTCCCTTATATACATATGTGTGTTTTTAATTTGTTTCTCTAGTCTTTCCAGATTAACACAGACCTCACAGGGGCAGAATCCTAGTTCATCCTCAAAGACTCATGCATGTGATATGCAACATGCAACTTTAAACATATAGTCCAAGATCTCTGGTTATATTTCACCTTTTGGTGACCAGAGAATGTTCTTTGTGCCAAGTCACAAACACACGCAAGTTCCACAATTCAGAGGCTTCACATCCTGACCGAGGATCACATTTTTATTCAGCCTGAGACACTTAGCACCAGGTTCCAAACCTTTACCAGGGAAGCAAGGTGACATACTTCTGACATAAGGAAGAGAATTCCGAAAGGATCGATAAGGCATACACATATTTCTTAAATAGAAAACACATCATTCCCAGATGATCCCCGCTTAGATTTCGGTGGGTTAGGTTTAGTACAGCAGTCTTTATTGGAAGACCCACAGTGTTTTATCTGAAAAAATCAGCCATTCATTCAGATACACAAAACAGCAGGGATGCCCAAGTTTACTCTGTTATTTACATTGTGGTCCATTTCCACTCGAGATCTACTTCGGGCAATTCCTAAAGACCCAGGTGTCATGAAGAAGCTCTTCCCCTTTCATTATTTGCTGTTTGGCTGCCACACAATCATTACGCCATTGGGTCATCTTCTTGAATGAATCTCCTATGTCGCAGGTCTGGCTCTGGCAGAGGAGAGAGAGGTTAGCGTGTACCTGCACTGCCCCAGCTCTACAAGAGAAGACCAACTTGGCTCTCAAGATCCCACACCTCCCATACCCCCTGGGTTTTGTTGCTTTAATCTTCCTCCTTAAGTCCCCATCATTGGATGCCTTCCATCAATGCCATGCCCCGAAGATAAGGGATTTGATTCTGCCCCCACCAACTGGCATCTGCCCCAGGCTTCCTGTGGGGAGTCCCCCTCCCCTCATTCTCAGTCCAGGTCTAGTCTTGTTCGATCAGACTACCTCTCTCCACAGCTGGCCAACAAAATCATTCCCATGACCACAGCAGTTGTTCACAGACAGACCCATAACCCAATCAGATCCAGTGAGGCAGTGTGAGACTTTGGGATTTCACTCTTTCTTAGCAGATGTCTGAATAAAGCTGCCTCACATTGGCTAGAAAGAATCTATTTGAGAAGGGAGCTATAGGAAGGGCAGAAACAAGGTCCTGGCGACGTCATGTGAGTGAGCGCCTGCTTCTAGTCAAGCCCCAAGCAAGAATTATTCTTGGAGCTATGCTTAAACCAGTGTGGGTTAGGTCTTGACAAAGTCCCTGGCATCGGGGCAGGTCTGATTCTCTATCTGGATATGTCCATGGCGTATGTCACCTGGATGATGCCTTAGTGTCGTCTAGTCCATGTCAGCTTACTTACTCACCTGGAGTCACACCAGGTTCCCCCAAATGCAGCGGGCCTTGTTGCTGAAAAAGAAGAACCCATACAACCACATCACTGGAAGGGAACGCTGCTCCCGTATAGTTGTACAGCACCTGTATATTGTATCGTGGAGCTCCATCATTTAAAAGTAAAGGGGTGACAGATTCAAATCAAGGCTCAGCCATCGAACTGCCTAAAAATAATTTTCTAAGGGACTGTGATACTATCCTTCCATGCATTCATTTTGCAGGTATATATTTACTGAACATTTATCATATGCCAGGAGTATGTTAGAACCTGGGACTGCATGGGTACAGACATAGTCCCTACCCCCAAGGGACCTGAGACTTGGGCCTCTGGATCCCTTTTCCAAATCACGTTGATGGCTGTTGTTTGCCTGGCGAGTGAACGACATGGCAGTTCCTTCAGCAGGACAAAGACTTCCAAAAGTTGTCATGGCATTCGCGTGGTGGCGCGGCTGCTATTTACCTGTCTTGTCCAAGGAAGCCCGGAGAGGCTTTAGAATGAGAAGGGACAGGGTTCTAGGTGGACATTTCTTGGTCAGAATATGAATTGATAGAATTTTTTCCCCTCAATTTTAATATCCTGCACGGTTTTTGTTTGTTTGTTTGTTTTTAACATTTTATTAGGGGCTCATACAACTGTTATCCCAATCCATACACACATCAACTGTATAAAGCGCATTTGTACGATAGAATATTTTTAAGAGCGATACAGCAACGACTATTAAAATTACCACATGCCTATCCCGAGGCAGAAATACTAAAAATAATTGTAGCCAAAAAAAATGTTTTACTACATTATTTTTAGTAATTAAAAAAACAAGATATAACAGAAAAACACAGAAACAACCCGAATATCCATGATAGAGTATTAAGTGGAGTATTCTCTATATCAATAGCCCTACTCTTGTAAGAAATAAATACACATCTTAGGAGATGCATATGTTTTCAGATACCTCGGAGAAAGGGTCTGGAGGGACATACTGAAGGGGAGGGGATCACAGGACCCTTCTCAATGGGCAGCCTTCTGGGTGATTCACTAACATAAGAAGCATATAAGAACCAGGGGGGTGGGAGAAATTTTTGTTTTGCTCCCTAAGAACCCCAGCACTGAGACCAAGGCCAGGCTTGAAAAATGCTGAGTGAATGAGCCAAACCACAACCAGCCGCAGAGCGCCCCCTACAGGACGGTGCAGAACGGCCCCATGCGTTTTCCAAGCTATTGATCTTTACTGGAGCAGAAAGCCTCGGGCTAGTTGGTGGGTTCAAACTGCTGATCTTGGGGTAAGTAGCCCAACCTGTAGCCCACTTCGTCATTAAGGATCTTTGAATGAATGATGCTATTTTTTAATCAAAGAATAAAAACTGTTGTCAAAGAGAAAGTGAAGTACCCTGATGTGGCACCCCACCCCCACCCCACCTCCCTGCCACAGCAGGTTCTCCAGGCTCCAGCTGCGCTCCTCCTAGCGGCCAGTCTGCATCAGGGGCCCAAGTCCACCTCCAGCTCACCTCCACTTCTCTCCTCTCCAGAGTGAGGGAGCTGGAGTTTGCCCTCTTCTCCACATCCTGCAGCTTGAGCAGTTTTTCTATCAGGAACATTTTATCTTTGCCCTCCTGCCAAGAGGAAGAAACAAATCAAATCACAGCAAACACACGGGGTGGGGCTGACGAGCCGTGGATGGGAGACCAGACATGCCTACCACAGTTCCTCTTACTGAAAGAACGCTACCACAGAAAAGGCACATTATCCCCAGTACCCTCCCTCCATGGTAACAGTCTCCCCTGGTGCAGTTCCCTGCCCGAAAAACCAAACTCACTGCCAGTGAGTTGATTCCCACTATGGCGACCTTATAGAACAGAGTAGAACTGCCCCTGTAGGTTTCTGAGACTGTTTACAGAGTAGAAAACTCCACTTTCTCCTGAGGAGCAGTTGGCTGGTGGTTTTAAACGGCTGATCCTAGTATGCTTCAAAAGCAGTCGGAAAGTTTATAAAAATGCACGTTCCTGGGCCCCACCAGACCTGCACTGTAGTGCAGAGCAGATTCTGCATCAGTTGCCTACATTCTAATCCCTGTTATTTGGGGCAAGTCACTGTACTTCATAAGCCTCCGTTTCCTTCACTTTGCAATGGGATTGGAAAAACCAACATCACACAAGCCTGGATGCCCCGAAGACAGGAGTGAGCATTAAGGAGGCGTGGTGTATCCCTTACACAATGCCAGGCCTCCTGTCATTGCTGTTAGGTGCCATCACGTCTGCTCTGATCCCTAGCAACACTGGACGACAGAGGGAAACGCTGCCCAGGCCTGGACCTTCCTCATATTGCTCCCATGCCCGAGCCCACTGTTGCAGCCGCTGTGTCCATCCATCTCGTCCAAGGCCTTGCTCTTTTTTTGCTGCCCCACTTTACCAAGCGTGACGTTCTTTTCTAAGGACTGGCCTCTCCTAACAGCATGTCCAAAGTGGGCAATGAATGTACAAATGTGCTTTACACAATTGATGCATGTGTGGATTGTGATACAAGTTGTATGAGCCCCTAATAAAACGATGTAAAAAAATGAAATCAAAGAACCGAAAAAAAGGGGGGGAAAACATGTCCAAAGTAAGTAAGACGAAACCTTGCTAACCTTGCCTCTATCCTTGCTAAGGAGCACTCTGGTCAGACTTCTTCCAAGGCAGATCAGTTTGTCCTTTTAGCAGTCCCTACTATTTTCAATATTCTTCTCCAGCACCACAATTCCAGTGCATGGCTCCTTCTGGGTCTTCCTTAAGTCACTGTCCAACCTTCACATGCCTATGAGGCATTGGAAAATACCATGGCTTGGGTCAGATGTACCTTAGTTCTCAAAGTAACAACATCCTTGCTTTTCAATACTCTAAAGAGGTCTTGTGCAGCAGATTTACCCAATGCAACCTGTCTTTGGACTTCTTTTTCCTTTTCTTTCCTTTTCCAAATTTCTTGAGCATAAATCGTGGATTCAAGAAAGACAAAATCCTTGACGCCTTCAACCTTTTCTCCATTTATCATGTTACCCTTTGGTCCAGTTGTGAGGATTTGGGTCTTGTCTACATTGAGTTGTAATCTAGTTGAAGGCTGCAACCCTTAATCTTAATCAGCAAGTGTTCCAAGTTCTCCTCGTTTTCAGTAAGCAAGGCTGTGTTACCTGCATATTGAAGGTTGTTAATCAGCCTTCCTCCAAACCTGCGGCCACATTCTTCCTCATAGAATGTGACTTCTCTGCTATTTGTTTAGCATCCAGACTGCCTAAGTATGGTGAGAGAATACAACCCCGACCCACATCTTTCTGGATTTTAAATCATGCAGCTTTCCCTTGGTTTATTTGCACAGATGCCTCTTGATCCATGCACAGGTTCCCCAAGAGCACCATGAAATGTTCTGGAATTCTCATTCTTCTCAAGTCAATAAGATACGAGTAAAACTCTTTCTGGTATTCTCTGCTTGCAGTCAAAAATCCATTGCTGACATCAGCAATGATACCCCTTGTCCCATGTCCTCTTCTGAATTAGCTTGAATTTCTGGCAGCTCCCTGTCAGTGTACTGCTGAAATCATTGTTGGATGCTCTTCAGCAAAATCTTACTTTTATGTGCTATCAGTGATATTGCTCTATAATTTGAGCATCCTTCTTTCTTCCACCTTTCTCTGGAATGGGTACAATATGGATCTCTTTGGGATGGGCAATAATGTGGATCTCTTCCAGGCAGTTGGCCGAGTAGATGTCTTCCAAATTTTCTGGCATAGACAAGTGAGAGTTTCCAGTGCTTCATCAGCCTGTTGAAACATTTCAATTGGTATTCCATCAATCCCAGTTTTGGGGCTAATGCTTTCAGTACGGTTGAACTTCTTCCTTCAGTACCTTCGGTTCTGGCCCATGTGCTATTTCTTGAAATGGCTGAATGTCAACTAGTTCTTTTTGGTATAGTGACTCTGTGTATTATTTCCATCATCTTTTGATGATACCAGCATCATTCAATATTTGTCCATAGAACCTTCACTATTGCAACTTGAGTCCTGAACGTTTCCTTCCGTTCTTTCAGTTCAAGATATACTGAACGTGATTTCCTTCTCAGCTTTCTAACTCCAGGTCTTTGCACAGTCCATTACCATATTTTACTTTGTCTTCTTGATCTTCCCTTCAAAATGTTATGTTCAGCTCTTCCATATATTTGCTTTCGCTACTCTACTACTCGGAGCAGGTTTCTGAGCCTCTTTGGACATCCACTTGGATCTTTTTTTTCTTTCTTGCCTTTTTAATGACCTTTTGTTTTCTTCATGAGTGATGTTCTTAATGTCCCCGCACCGCTCATCGGGTCAGTAGTGTTCAATGCAGCAAATCTCTCCTTGAGATGTTCTCAAAATTCAGGTGGGGTCGACTCAAGGTCACGGTTTGGCTTTTGTGGACTTGTTTTCTTTCATTCTCTTCACCTTCAACTTGAATTTATTGGCACTTCATCCACATATCAGACAATTTAATAGTTCAATCATATCAAGAAGAGTTGTACAATCTCTACCACAATCAATTTTAGAACATTTTCTTCTTCCTTGTACTCATTGTTCTTTCATTTTTTTCAATTTTGACAAAAAATATACCCACGACATTCTCCAAGGCAGCAAATGCTACATGTACAATCCAGTGCCATTGATTATCCTCTGTGTTGGATAACCATTATTGATAGCCCTCTCCAAATTGTTCCACTGCCATTAAAATAATTCAGTGTCCCCTAAGCAAAATTTCCTCCTTCACCCACAGGAACCATTAGTATAGTTTCTTCTTTTTCTTTCCAGTAGTTTTCTTTCTTTCTTTCTTTTTAGTAGTTTTCTTGATATGATATTCGCTTATCATACACTTCCAAAGTTAATTGCTTTTAAAGAGTTTTATATACACCGTCACAATCATTTCAGTGTACCTCCCCTCCGGTAGTCATTATTTGTCTCTCCTTTCCCTCCCCTGCCTTCCCATCAAACCATTGCATCAGTATTGCCTCTATGTATTTTCTCCTTCTGTGTTTCATAACCTGGGAAACACAACAGAAACAATAAAGAACAAAATACAAAATAGAAAGAAAAATGGGATGAGAAAGAGAGAGGTGGTAGGATGCTATGGATTAAAAGAATCTTAAAAGACCCATTCACCAAACGCCATGTGTGGTCGTTTCTTGGATCCAGATATGAGCAGCCCTACTGTATGAAGACACTTAATGGAACAAGTAGGGAAATTTGAACATTGATATTTGATACTGAGGAATTGTTGCTAAGTCTTCTAGCGATGACCATGGCATTGTGATTGTATTTGTTTTGTGTTCAGGTATTTTTCTCTTTGAGATTCATATAGAAGTTTTGACAGCAAAAATGACCTCCCTTGGGTTTTGTTTTGAAATACCCCAGGGCTTGCAGGGAATGGGCAGCATCAATGAAACAAAGCCAGTGCTCTCTGGCTGACCCCAGTTCATTGGGACGCCATGTGTGCCAGAGGAGGACTGTACTCCATGCTCTTTCCAGTGGCTGAGTTTTGGGGAAGCATATTTTATACAAGAGTATACAAATGTTAACACTGATGGTGGATATATGGGGGGTTATTGTACTGTTTTATTTTGAAGGATGTTTGAAAATTTCTACCATAAAATGTTTTTTTTTAATTATTATTATTAAAAGATTTTATTGGGGCCTCTTACAACTCTTATAATAATCAATTGTATTGAGCATATTTTTACATATGTTGCTATCATTCTTTTCTAGACATTTACTTTCTATTGAGCCCTTGGTATCAGCTCCTCTGCCCCACCCTCTCATCTTGTGACCCCATGATAAATTATTATTATTATCTTCACAAAATGTTTTTTTGGGTTTGGTTTTGTTTTTTTAAGGAGGGAGGATGGAGAGAGCAGGCAGACTTACATTAACAATCTGCTCATGGAGTAGTCTGATCATAATCTTTCTTCCCTCGGTGATCTGCCAGTAAAGATAAGTGATGATTCTGGAAAAGAAGAGGAAAAAGAATGATAGACACTTGTCAATACTTTGACAAGTCCCAAATTTCTACTGGGTGACAACCCAAACCCACTGCCATCAAGTCCATTTGAACTCATAGCAACCCTAGAGGACAGCATCTTGATAGACAGAGTTGAAGTGCTCCTTAGGATTTCCCGAGATGGTAAATATTTTAAAAACCCATTTTATTGAGCTATGCTTAATACATTATACAATTCAATAGTTTAATCATTAAGAAGGGTTGTACAGTCCTCACCACAATCAACTTTGGACTATTTCCTTCCTTCTGGTACCCACTGGTGTTAACACTCCATTTCCCCCATCCTCCCTTCCATGCCCCCCACTCCAGGTCATTATTATTTCCGTTACTGCCTTTATGAATCCACCCATCCCTGGCTTCCTTATACAGAGAAACATACAAAAGATGGACCAAGAACAACAACATCAAAAGACCGAACAACAGTGATCATATAAAACAGAGAAAGACCTCAATCTAAGAAAAAAGCAGAGGGTATTAAAATTTCAGGGAAAATTGGAAGTGGTTCCAAAGGGAGATCTATTGACCAGGTGTTACATTCTCGTCTAAGTATAGCTGCTAAGAACCACTTTCCAATGCTTTTGTCTGCTATTAGGGCTGTTCACATTCCTAGTCTGTGGGCAGTGGGGCTCTACTAGTTGAAGGGTCGAGCCCGAGTCACCCACACGTTGGATCCTCTCTACGCTCACCACTCTCCCAAGGGCTATCCGCCTCTGACACAGGCCGTCTCCCCCAGCTGCTCTGGGCTCTTCCCCCGACTTGTTCCCCAGCGCATCTCACTTACAGCACAATGAGGGTGAGGATGAAAAAGAAGTGCACGCTTCCAATGAGGTTCCGGTAGATCCAAACCACCCACAGGTAGCTAGGTCTGTTACTTAGTGTGTCGATCCAGCTGTAAATGGCATGAATGAAGAGAGGCAGCCCGCGGAATGGACCACATTCAGCTGAAGGCTTCAACCTAGACAAACAGGGGACAGAAATCCATCCACGGAGTGAGGCTCAAGTATTGTTTATTTGAGAATCTGAAATGACCATTCTTGCCTGCTCCACCCACACTTCATGGCGTCACTAGGGAAGAGTGTGTGATAAATATAGTTGTCAAACTTTTGCTATTCTTTTTTTCCTTTAATTAATACTTCATTTTCGGGAACCCAAGAGGAAAGCGAATTTGGGGAATAATGAGGGCAACAAATGTATAGATGTGCTTTACACAATTGATCTATGTATTGTGATGAATTGTAT